GATTTCCTTTTTGAAGTCAGTGGACTCTTTTGGAACTATCACAGTATTTTTCTAAGTGGTTTCGTCAAACCCTAAATCACATTATCAGTGGAAACTCCAGACTGTTGCCTTTGTAGTAAAATATAATATTTAGAAATTGGGGTGTGCGAAATATATCGTCTGCGATAATATCGTAATTGTTGTTTTAACGATGACACCACCACACAGACTATGAAGAATATTCTTCGGCAGGCCTTAAGGTACCAGCACAATAACACACTCCGCAAAATATCGTTTAATTATCGTTATCGATAAAATCCCAGAAAATAGAGAGAATTTTTTGTCAATATCGCACACCCCTATTTAGAAAGATACATGGCGGGTGTATCACCTATTTGGTTATTTGAGCTATTGGTGCTTGGACCCTGATTCTGGCCGATTAATTTTTTATACTAGGTGTCAGGTCTGATTTCGCGGGAAATTACATATTTGTATAATTTGTCCCTGCGTATTTATATTAAAATAGGGTGCCTGCTTGAAGTCACAACAGTTGAACCTTGAACCGAAAAGAGCTCGCAAGCAAAAAGAGAAAGCAACATTAACCATAATAAAACACGAATCAACATATAGTTTGTATAGCATCACGTGCCTGCTTACAAAACAACGTTTATGTTGGTTTACCATCTCTAAATTATTTACTACTTTTGTCTATTTTTCCTAGAAATAGTCTTTCCAAGTTATAATTTCCATCGTTATCTGATATGAATAGCAATGGGTATTTTTTAAGGTCTGAGTAGCCAAACTTCTGTAAAACAACTGATTTCAACAAGTCAAAACAACAGCGCCATATAAGCTACTTACCTGCTTATAAGATGTATGTTTTGGATAGCCATCTTTCTTTCATTATTGGTCGAGTTTTGATGTTGTTAGTGACATTTGCACTGATAAAGCGATCACTTGTAAGCATGAGCCCAGCGCCATCAGCAGAATATCGGAGCCGAAGCACAACTCTCGTAACGGCCAAAACAATGTTCCTCCGCAAATAACGCTCAGTTTCATGCTTCAACCGCTAGAGGGCCTAAAGTTACGCAGTGTAGCTTTAAAGTCCCCCGTAGTCAAATATTGTATCCCTTAAAACTTATCTTGGATCATCAAAATGACATATTTAAATGTTTTTTCTTGTGAAAATAATTTTCTCATGCCTTAAAGGGATAGTTCACCCAAAAATGAAAATTCTGTCATTTACTCACCCACACGTAGTTCCAAACCCGTATAAATTTCTTTGTTCTGCCGAACAGAAAGGGAGATATTTTGAAGAAAGTTTGTAACCAGGATGTTTTGGGGCACCATTGACTTCCATTAGTAGGAGAAAAAAATACTATGGAAGTCAATAGTGCCCCAGAACTGCTCTGTTTCCCACATTCTTCAGAATATCTTCCTTTGTGTTCTGCAGAAGAAACTACTTGAGGGCGAGTAAATGATGACAGAATTTTCATTTTTGGGTGAACTATCCCTTTAAAATAGCTTGAATGTAACTCTACACCCTTGCCTCATTTACTATACGCGGATCTATGAATATGCAAATTAGCTCCGCCTCCACTCAGTCACAGCAGCCAGCGCCTCCTGATCCACTGAACTGTAGTAAACGCAGAACAATGGCATACACGGATAATGACTGATAAAACTATCTTTTTACTAGCGGACAACTACAGTGAATACTGTAACATTCCTTAAAGTTACTTACTTGACGCTGTTGTGTCCTAAAATGCCTTGAAGACTCGAATACAGCGCCCGCGAGCATACATACGCGTGTGAAATGCCTCCGGGCTACTTTTACACTGGGTTATAATGCAAGTTAGCAGTTCTAAACAACATAAAACACTTGATTTTCACTACAGGGGGACTTTAAGGTTTTAATATCAGCGTGCTGGTTTTGGAACATGATAGTGAGTAAATAATGAGATTTTTCATTTTGAGGTGAACTATCTGAATCATCTGGATATCCTGTGTCTCTCCTCAGGTCCAGAGGCAGCACTGAAGAAGCGGATCAGCAGGAGTCTCTGCACAAGCTGCTGACGTCTGGAGGATCCAGCGAGGACAACTTCAGACAGCACTTCGCTCATCTCAAAGCCAACGTCATTGAAGCCATCAACGAACTGCTGACAGAACTGGGTGAGAATCCATAGACGCCAGCTCATCAGAAAGCTTTTGCATTTTTTAAAATATTCTTGTAACGCTAAATATCCTGTTATTTTTAGAGGGCACCACAGACAACATCTCCATGCAGGCGCTGGAACACATCCACTCCAACGAGGTCATCATGACCATCGGCCGCTCCAGAACAGTGGAAGCTTTCCTGAAAGACGCAGCGCGGAAACGCAAATTTCACGTCATGGTTGCAGAGTGTGCACCCTTCTGTCAAGTGAGTAAATATTTGCATCCATTGCATTTTACTAAAGCGGCTCTTGAAAACACTTCTTTCTCAACACTAGCAAATAGTAGAACGGATAGCCAAGAGTTAAGGCTGATTTATACTTCTGCGTCGGACCTACGCCGTAGCCTTTACGCCGTAGGCTATGCGTCAGTTTTCATTTATACTTCTGTGTCGATGTCCACGTCAATGTGCAATACACATGCAAACAGCTAGTCAGCAGTGTCCACGGGCATGTTGCTGGTGTAACCCGCAGTACCACGGCAAAAGCCGAAGAAGAAGCGACTCGTCGGAGAAGCATTATAGCCGTGACGGCGGCAAATAAATATTAAATCATTATTTAAAACTACAAAAAGGAGACAACAACGGAACAGGAGATGATGGCATTCTTTCAATCTGCACAAGGACTTGTACCACGGCAGATCAACATTGTTTGTTGCGGACAACTACTGATGTATAATGCTATGTAGTATAATAAATGATAAGACACTTGGTCTTTGCTTTGTTTTATTTTATATAAGAAGGTGTAACATTAAAATATATTAAAGTGCACATAAACACACAAAACTCAAGTACATATGGAGGGTAGTTGTTCTTGCAGACCAATCACAGCGCTTGCGGTCCGCGTAGAATTGACGCGCTGTTAGATTTTTGGAGAGGTGCACGTCAGGCTACGGCGTATGGGTGTGCGTCTATGCGTAAGCTACGGCGTAGGTCTGACGCAGAAGTATAAATCAGCCTTTAATAACACTGTCATGTTTAACCATGTAATAACACAAAATCATGTTTACCCATTGTGTAATATTATTAAACATTAAATAATAATGTATTAATAATAACATTAGATGATTATAATTGTTAATATGCAAGTTAATAATGATAAATTAAAATGCCCATTTAATTATTCATAATTAATATTTAAAATTATACTGTAATAAAATTTATCCTTTTTTATATCATTATTAATGAACAGTTTTTACTATTTAATTTTTATAAATTTAAATAGAAATAATTATTTAGATAATACTATTTAATTTTTATTTTATTTATATTACTATTTATATAAAAAGTTTTAAGAGTTTAACTTCATATTGGTCTTTGTCAAGCAAGTGTATTTAGTGCTGTTGTAAATTGAGGTCCTTCAAAGTAACTTGACTAAACTATAACTTTTTTTGTCCTTTAGGGGCATGAAATGGCCACAAGTCTTTCCAAAGAGGACATCGAGACAACAGTCATCCCAGACGCGGCCATTTTCGCTGTAATGTCAAGAGTCAATAAGGTGAAACAAAGGATTGATGTGTGACGCATCACTGGAAGAATCCAGATAGATTAACTATCCAAAAATCACACAACTAGAAATGTTTTATGATTTAAAACATCAGTCGTTTCATGTTAGTCAAAGACTCGAGTTTCTTTATGAACTATCTTGAAGGGGAAAAATACCTGACTGAATCACTTGCATGTGTTGTTCAGGTGATCATCGGCACACAGACGGTCCTGGCTAACGGGGGTCTGCGGGCGGTTAACGGCACACACACACTGGCTCTGGCTGCCAAACATCATTCGACTCCCCTCATCGTCTGCGCTCCCATGTTCAAGCTCTCGCCGCAGGTATCCGACACCCCCGTACAATCACACTTACACGATTTAGTAAAATTGACGTCAGTAGATAAGATCTTGTAAATGCTGCTTTTGAGGTTTAACTTGCATCTTTGTTATAGTTTCCTAATGAGGAGGACACATTTCATAAATTTGTTTCACCACATGAAGTGCTTCCCTTTACTGAAGGTAATGTCATTCAGCAATTTACAACTTTACACTTATACAATTTAAAGTTAAAAAACACAAGAAATAACACACTCGAAACAGAAATTGTCAACAAAAAATTTTGAAAACACAACAACAAACAGATTTGGAAATTTAGCATTGCATCACTTGCTCACCAATGGATCCTCAGCAGTGAATGGGTGCCGTCAGAATAAGAGTCCGAACAGCTGATAAAAACGTCACAATCTACACCACTCCAGTCCATCAGTTAATTTCTTGTAAAAAATTCTCATCTTAAAGATGGATTTGTTTCTTACAAACCTCCAAATTTTCACTTCACATGATGTTAATCGATTCTCTCATTCTGACGGCACCCATTCAAATCTGTTCTGATGAAGAAACAAACTCATCTACATTGTTTATGGACAGTCAGTGTAAATCTGCTTTACAAGAACTAGTTTTACTTTTCTTTTGTATCAGTAGTCAAGTCGTTCTGTTAAGATGGTGAGCAACATTTGTCATGAAATTTCTGTTTTCTGCTTCCAGGTGAGATCTTGTCTAAGGTCAATGCTCACTGTCCGGTATTCGACTACGTTCCTCCAGAACTCATCACTCTGTTCATCTCAAACATCGGTGGAAACGCTCCGTCGTACATTTACCGTTTGATGAGTGAACTTTACCACCCTGAAGATCATGAACTCTAGACTGGGAAATAAAGAATCGCATGTTTGTCTCACACTTTGGCTTTCAAAACTGCTGGGATTGTGAATCGAGTGAATATTTAAGCTACTGATTCATATTTTCAGAGTCAAGACAACATTCGTGTGTGTATTGTTGACATTTAATACACCAAATATATATTCTGTAAACAGCTTACAGAAACTTGCAATTTATAAAACTCATAATTTGTTTTAAAAAGAAGTCAAAAAACTTAAAAGCACAATAAAAATGATCAGAATGACAGAAGAGACAAAGCTCAACATGAACTGTAGAAACGCCGCAGCTCAGCCGTGATCATTCACTTGAGTGTTTCTCAACTGTGGGAAAAGAAACAGACAATTGCTCTTTACCCAAGTTTGATTCACAGGTACATTTCAAAGGCTTCGCTGCAGTCGCCTGAGAGTTTGTGCTACCTGTTCTGCGTTTTGGTCCATTTCAGAGCACTTCTGGGCGGCACTGCCACAGCTGGATGGTAGAAAGTACAGCCCGCTCGCTTACACTGCGCCGCAAATCTACACGGCTGCATACAACAAACAAACGAGGCACTTGAAGCATATGAACAAATTTATTTAGCAACAAAAAAAAGTTAAAATGCATAAAAATATAGAGATTAGGTTCATAAAACCAACATTTGGAATAACATGCACAATAAGAGCAGTAGCATGAGAGGATTTTATGTTGACATTTCAAAGTTGTTGACATTTTTCAACTTAATAAATCATAAAGAAATCCCTCAAAGTGAAACAGGCTGATGTAATACTCACTTTAGGGTGGTAGAACGGACAGTCCAGCTTTTTACACTCTGGGAAGAAATGGCACACGCTGCTGGCTGGAGCTGGGTCTGCAGGGTCAGAGGTCACAGGTCAAATGTCAGCAGCCATTTATAACACATTATAATGTATTTCATCTTCGTCTTACACACCAGCTCTTGTCGGGTTGCTGCTGAGTTTGCGGCTGACGTGTGTGAATGGACAGTCCGCTTTGGTGCACTTGGCATCAAACTTACAGTTTGGATGAATGAACAGACACTTGTTGCCAAATTTACAGTTGGGAAATATTCTGCAACAGAACCAAAAACAACAAATTTACATAATATGCATCACTATGTACGACATGTCTCAAATGATTAATTACGCATTTCCAGCACCACCGATAATATCAGGAGGGGAAAAAAAACTAAAAAGTTCTAAGTTAACGAAAAAAAAGAAAAACAGAGTAAAATAATAATAAAACGGACTAGTCAGTTGTTGACAAAAAAGGAAAAATAAAATAAAATCAAGTAGAAAAATAAAAAAAAACGTCGTAAGTTACGAAAAGGAAAAATAAATAATTAGAATAGAAAAGAAAAAGTTAGGATAGATAAATAATAAAATGAATATAAATAATAAAAGTAAAAATACTAGTTGGTTGACTAGTCCACCATGCTGAGAGTTACGTGGGGTTTATAATGTGAGTTTGTTCAGTCATGAGGGGTTAATATATGTTCTCACTTGCACTGTGTGTTGGGGTGATGGTACAGACACTCGTCTCCACTCTTGCACGCAGGCCAAAACCTGCAGCGTTCTGGAAGTTTCTGTCGTTTAGCCTGAACCGGCTCTACATCCATGTCCTCCACCTCATTTAACTCTCTATCTGCAGGAGAAAGACAGACTGAGGGTGAGCAGAGAAATAAATTGAGGAATGTTGACTACAACAAATGATGAGTCACATGACTACAATTACAAGACTGGACCGGGTTTAGTACAAAATAAGCTGGCATAACATCCATTACCATTACCATTTTATAGAAAATAACTGTATTGTTATATATACTGTTGTCGTGGTACAAGTTACAAGATCTCTAAAACATGAGTATGTTCGTCTTACTGCCAGTGTTTAGAAAGTCAGTGCCGAGTCTGAGGTGGACGGCAGGTTTGGGTCCATTATTTTCTGGAAAGTCAGGGGTCGTATTGAACTCGTCCTCAGGTTCAATCTCCTGATCTGTGCGGCTTGCTAACGGACTGGGAACTCCATCTAATGTCACGATGAACTTTGGACTCGCTGCTTCCACAAGCTCCCCTCTCTCTCTGCAGAGGAACAGAAGGAGATGCGAGCATGACACACTGAAGACTGGAGTAATGATGCTGAAAATTCAGCACTGCATCAATTTTTTTTTTTTAAATTGTACTGATCCCAATCTTTTTAATGATAGTGTATATTCAAATATATTCTAGATGGTCAGTTGCTTTACATGTTTGTGTGTTTAGTCAAAGGTCTGGCGACATGAGACTACTGAGCTTCACAGAGTGTGACTGAATGACTTCCATAGTACAACTAAGATGGACTTTACTGTCAGAGGTCAAAGTTAGGTCATATCCCTCACGGTATTCACTGAGCTGCTCTCGAGTGTCCTCTTCTGGAAGATCCAACTGCAGACGAGATGCTAAAGCTATGGATTGTGCTGCAAAACACACAAAAAAAATAAATTTGTAGTTTGATTTCTTGTTCCTTCTGTCAACACAGTATTTCTTTAAGCAACAGACACTCACTATTGTGCAGTGTGTCCTGAGGCGTGAGAGCGTGCAGGTGCTCCTGGACCAACCGGATTGCAGCATTATTCATCTCGTCACTCGCTGAACGTGTCCGTGGTGCCACAGGAACCGTCTGCCGCTGGGGAACTGGACAAGAGAATACAGAACCAGGGTTATTATCATTAACTAAAACTGCTACTATTAGAAGGATTTCTGTTAATTGAAATAAAGCTGAAATAAAATAAAATAGACATATTTAACTGAAATACGTTTAGGCTGAAGCACTAAAATGACTAGCAGTAAATATATCAAAACTAATAATAAAACTGAAATAAAATTAAACTACACCTAAACAGTAATATTTAAAAAAAAATAATAATGACAAAAGCACAAAATTACTAAAAATTTGGGGAAAAAAATAAAATAAAAGCCAATTCAAAATATTAAGAAAAAGACAACAGTATATAAAAACAATACTAAAATATCATTTTCACAGACAGATTAACTAACATTTTCATGTCAATAGGTCACATTACAATTCGATATTTAATAACGACAGAGTCCCACACATGATATGCAGAAAACAATACTGTGGCCACCAATTTGTACCTTCGTTTTAGTTAAATCATGGATATGAATTAAGAATTCATTTCCACAACTTCATACATTCCCTCAATACTTATCTGTATTCTTCATGTTTTAATTGAGGGTGTTTACATTTTTACATTTGTCTCCAAGGTTTTGATCCAGTTTGTTAATTGTTTTAATTTTGTTCTAATACCTCTGTACAAAACTTTGGTTGCAACTTCTGTTGTTTTGAAATGTGCTTTATAAATTAATAAACTAAACTCATTTTTCTTTTAGTATCACTGAGATACTATTATAGTTTCTATTGATATTTTGAATGTTTTTTTTTTTAAGTTTAAAGTTTTCGTTTTGTTGCTGTGTTTGTCATTTTTAGTAGTTTGTTTTATTTTATAAATGTATTTTTATATAGTTTTTATTCATTTTTATTTCAGTTTTAGTTATTTTAGTACATCAAGTTAAAATAAACTATTAAATCAAAATGAACCAATTAAACTACTAAATTAAAATGAGAAATGTTGCCTTGGCAACTAGCTGAAATATAAAGTTTTATGCATTTTATTTCAGTTAATGTTGATTTTATTTCAAGTAACAATTATTTTTTTAATAGTTTTAATTATAGTTTTGGTTTTAGTTAACTATAATAACCCTGCGTTGTACTAATTCATTCTCTCATTCTCTTAATTAAATAAAAAATAATTATTACTTCTTGGCCACAATTTACTAAAAAGAAGAAACAAATGGCTACAATTGAATTAAAACGAGGGAACAAATTCTTCATTCATGGGAACTAATTCTTTATTCATGGCCACAATATATATTTTTTTTCCACATGTCATGTGTGGGGCTCCGTAAATAACTGCACTGTGTTAAACAAATTGTTATTATTAAGTATAATATTAAATGCATATGGTGAACCTGTGTATGTAGTGGTCTTGTTGATGGATTTCTGAGCTTCTGAGATCGCTTTGAGGATCAGATTTTTGTTGGCTTGTTTGGCTGGTGGGAGGGAAGGCCTGCGAAACAAAAACAAAACACCAAACTATTTCTGGGAGGAGTAAACAATCAATTATTAATAAGCATATTTTAAAAATATATTTTCCACCATTTCCCAGAGGAACGTACTTGCGCTCAGGTTTCAATGGCAGAGACACTTTGCTGGCAATACCGTAGTCCTCCTCATCTTCATCCTCCTCCTCATTCAGATCATCACTCTCCTGTCCGCGTTCATGACCTCTGTGAACCCGAACCACCGAACTGGCTACGGGAGCCTTTCGTTTCCGGGACAATTCCTGCCAGAAGGGTGACATTCAATGAGGTGATGAGCTACAGCATCAGCGCAGGACTGAACTGATGCTTTCACTGAATCGAAATTCACTCACCCTGCTGCTCTCCGCTGAGCTCCTGTAGCCCCGGCCATGGCTGGAACCTGACCTTTCCTGACCTCTTGTGACGTCTGAGGACCTGTAAGCGTCCGCAGTCCGTCTGGAAGACTCCAGCGCTGGCCGTGGCCTGTCCGCAGTTGAGCGGCTGTATAAAGCCTGAGAGGTCAAGCTCTGCTCCATGGGGTCGTAGGCAATGAGATCATCATCCAGATCAGGCTTGATGTCAATCACAGCTTCTGCCGACGCCTCCATCAGCGGTTTGACAGCAGATGTGAGTCTGGAGGGTCTTTCAGAAGAGCCTCTCCTGCTAGATAAAACAAAAACTGGTGAGCTTGTAATAATCAGTATTTGCGATTAAGCCAAAGTCACAGTGATTCGCTGATCCACTCATGGGAATTAAATACCTGGTGCGGTTCTCGTGGGCAGAGCTTGAGACACGCCCCTCCAGCTTATCAGAACGTGAGCTGGAAATGGCGAGAGCACGAGGCTCCGCCGCCCTCCTGTTGTTTTCTGCTGGGATGCTGGTCTCAGAGTGTGGATCGGATGGATGGAGTGATGTGGGCTCTGCAAAACAAATACAAATATTGGTAAACTAACTTAAAGGGGTCATATGATGTTGCTAAACAGAACATTATTTTGTTTATTTGGTGTAATGAAATGTGTTTATGCGGTTTAAGGTTAAAAAAACATTATTTTCCACATACTGTACATTATTGTTTCTCCTCTATGCCCCGCCTTTCTGAAACGCGTTGATTTTTACAAAGCTCATCGGTCTGAAAAGCGAGGTGTGCTGTGATTGGCCAGCTATCCAGTGCGTTGTGATTGGCCGAATTCCTCAAGCGTGTGACGGAAATGTTACGCCCCTTACCATATTGTGATGCCTTGTCCGGGCCAGAGCGACGAGACTAAAACCCATTACAAACGAGGCATTTGTTGCATACAGTGGGGACATAATTACGGATTCTAATGACTTATATGGTCTTTTTATGCATTGCATTGCGCCACGTAAACATGAAACCATGTCTGCATTTGTGATCGAAGAAACGACAAACTACAAACGCTACTCTACACTGCTCAAAAACCGTCAGTGGCAAATTCTTTAAATATAAAAAACGCACTTGCAGTCTGTGAGTCAGAACAGCTGGCATTGTAGTCTACTCTCCCAGGATCAGGAAACAGTCCTCCATAAAATGTGCTGCACACATCTGAATATTTGGGTTGAACTGTTCTGGAACAGTGTTGTAAATACAACTTAACCACTTATTTCTAGTTGTGTCCTCTTTTGGAAGGCCAAACAAAGTAGTTTCGCTTTCACAACGAAACACAGCGTCACACACGGCGGGCTAGAGTGAGCGGAGGCCGGCTTGTGTGAGCGGTGGCGGGCGGCCTTGCGGCAACCACATGTGACGGCCCCGGGCTGGACTCCGCTTCGTCCACGGTGAAAGCCGATCCGGCGATACACAGCGCGAAGTTGATGTATTTCCTCAGCGACCAGCACGGATCAGCTCCAGGCATGACGAAGCGGATATCGTCCTCTTTTGGAAGGCCAAACAAAGTAGTTTCGCTTTCACAACGAAACACACAGCGCCTTCACGACATGCGGTGGCAACAACAATACTACAGTGAGAATAAAAGTTATAAGCCTAACTAATAAAAGCCTTCTTTCTTGGCGTGAACATTTGGGTGGCGTTATGCAAATCTTCCCACATCGTGACGTAGACATGTGGGGGCGTGTTAGAATGAGCCGTTTTAGGTAGGCGTGGTTGACTCTTAACTTTTATAAAGAATATCTCTTTGGATTTGAGACTTTAGTCTTTGCAACTTTACAGATCTTCTTTATGCACCAAGAGCTTGTAACACTCCAAAGAGAAAGGAAAAATTTAAATCGCATCATATGACCCCTTTAACCAACCAACCAAAATAAGTTTAAGTTCAGACACTAAAAGTAACGGAAAATCTACAAAAACTAAAACTGAAATAAAAATGAAAGAAACATACATAAACTAATAAAAATGACTGAAGCACACAACAAAATGACAATAAATTATAGAAATAAATGCGAATTCAAAAATGCTAATATTACGTAAATAAATATAAAAATAACACAGATACACACGGAATAACTAACATTTTCAAGTCAATAGGTCACAATATTAATTCAATGTTTAAATACTAGACTGAGTTATGCTATTATTAATTGTATTATTTCATGCAAAAAAGTTAAAGTAAAACCATGCACTATAGCAGTAGTTCCCAAACTTTTTCTGCCGGGCCCCCCTTTTGTAGAGAAAAATATTTCAACATGATCTCCAATATGAAACATACCAGTTGCAACCGATCGTAGCTTCTCCAGAACACCATGTAGCCTACAACACACACAAACAGCATTTACTTCATTATTTTTTACTTTCTCTGCACAAACGTTTTCAACATTGATAACAATAAGAAACATTTCTTAAGCAGCAAATCAGCACATTAGAATGATTTCTGAAGGATCATGTGACACTGAAGACTGGAGTAATGATGCTGAAAATTCAGCTTTAATAAATAGGAATAAATTACATTCCAAAACATATTAGAATACAAAAGTCATTTTAAATTGTAACAATATTTCACAATATTACCGTTTTTCCTGTATTTTTTTATTTATTTTTTATAAATGCAGCATTGGTGAGCAGAAGAGACTCAAAACATCACAATGTAAATAGGGAGACTTTCACCTACCATACAGTGAACTTAATGGTATTGCTGCCTAGAAACAAGGACAGGTCGTCTGCCATCTGCTTTGGGTTCTTCTTATTGGCCACCATGACCATGATGTAATCCGGAAGCTCCTCATCTGACAGAAACACATGGTAACATATTTAATCTGATCTGAACAAGGTCAGTCAACCATCACATTAATGCAGAATTGTTTAATAGAGATCCTGTTTACCATACAACATCACTTAAAGACATGCATGAGGATGGAAAAATTTACTTCTGATTTAAATTGACCCAGAATAATAATGATTACAACTATTTTGTTTAATGTATTCTTATTGTTTAAAAGTAATGGCTGCATTTTTTTTTTACTCTACATTGTTACTTTACTTAAAGGGATAGTTCACCCAAAAATGAAAAGTACCCCTTGATTTACTCACCCTCAATGCATACTAGGTGTATAGGACTTTTTTATTTCATACAATCACAATCAGAGTTATATGAAAAAATGTCCTGGCTCTTCCAAGCTTTATAATGGCACTGAATGGGTGTTATTTTTCAATAGTCCAAAAGAAGTCCTATTGAGTGCATCCATCCATCATAAAAAGAGCTGCACAAGGTCTCCTGAAGTGAATCGATGCATTTTTGTAAGAATTTTTTTTTTTTAAAAACCTTTATAAAATAGTAATCCCTAGCTTTCGCGAACTGTCGTAAGCGCGTTCACGAGAGAGTGGTGTTCCAGCGGATGATGTAGGACGCAGGCGTAGCGTAAGCTCCGGTGAGAAGTGATGAACACAGAAGCGCAGAGGAGAGAGCAAAACAAAACACCGGTCACGAGTTAGAACAGGGATGGCGAACGTCGGTCCTGGCGAGCCGCACGCAGCCCTGCAGAGTTTTGCTTCAACCCTAATCAAACACACCTGAACAAGCTAATCAAGGTCTGAACGGTTATTAGGAAGCTACAGGCAGGTGAGTTTTAATTAGGGTTAGAGCTGAACTCTGCAGGGCTGCGGCTCTCCAGGACTGGAGTTCGCCACCACTGAGTTAGAAGTACAAAACGAGGATTTGTAAAGAAAAACGTCAGAGGATTTCGAGATAAGCCAAGAGGAGCCTGGTTTTCCTTTGCTCGTGAGACTAACATATTCTCACTGGAGCTTACACTACACCTGCGTCCTACATCAGCCACTGGAACACCACACTCTCGTGAACGCGCGTACGACAGTTCGCGGAAGCTAGAGATTATGGTTTATAAAGTTTTTAATATGGATATTTTTCTTACAAAAATGCATCGCTTCTTTCAGAAGGCCTTTATTAACCCCCCGGAGCCGTGTGGAGCACTTTTTATGATGGATGGATGCACTTTATTGGACTTCTTTTGGACTAAAAATAACACCCATTCAGTGCCATTATAAAGCTTGGAAGAGCCAGGACAATTTTTTAACATAACTTCAATTTGATTCTTCTGAAAGAAGAAAGTCATATACACCTAGGATGCCTTGAGGGTGAGTAAAATAAGGGGTAATTTTATTTTTGGGTGAACTACCCCTTTGAATGAATAGTTGACCTGTAAATCCACACAACTCCAGTCTGTTAACGTCTGGTGGAGCGAAAAGCTATGTTTTGTAAGAAACAAATCCATCAAGACGATTTTAACTTCAAACCGTTGCTTCTGGTTATAACAAGTCTTCTGTCCTTAATATTGGTTTCTCCAGCTTTTCAATTCATAAAACAGCTTTTCACAAGATATTAATTGACGTGCGTGGATTATTGTGGTGTTTTTATCAACTGTTTGGACTCTCATTCTGACGGCACCCATTCACTGCAGAGGATCCATTGCTGAGCAACTGTTGTAATGCTAAAAAATTAAAAAAAAAAACATTATTTTAAACTGCTCATTTTTTTATACAAATCAAACTAAATAAAAAAATTTTTTTTATTGATTGATGATAACGATGATGATAATGTAGCAATAATAATAATAATAATTATTTGGTATTTAGTATTTTATTTGACTATATACTTGATTTTTCTTATAGAAAATGGTATGAAACGTTTTTTAAACAACATGGATACAAAGACTATAGGAACATTGCACATGTGTTTTAAACTAGTTTTTTTGTAAAGATTTCTCCATCTTGGACAACTTGTTTGTCAGTGACCCTTAATATTAATTATTTTTGTAGTCTACCTAATTTTTCCATTGTTTATTTTAAAAAACGAATTTGCTGATACTAGTGGCCTATATTGATTTTTCCTTTATTTTCTGTTTTATTGTTTATAATGTATTGTTTTGTTTAATGTTAATGTTATTTAATTAATTTACTTTATAATAACCTCCTGAGAACCAGAAAAAACCGTTTTGTGAATTTTGTTGTTGTTTTATGTCATTACATTGGTTGGAGCATAAAAAACAAACGGAGAAAAAACATTTTTGGAAAAAAAAGATATTTTATTCATATTTTATTCCATGTCCTTTGTAGAGGACGCCAGGGCTAAGTTATTAAAAAATAATAATGGCATGTATGCATATGCATGTCTTTAGGTTTCAGTACAAAGATGATTCTCAACTATGTTATTAAAGATATAACAGAATGATTTGATATAGTCTACTATTGTACTTTATGGAATATGTGCGTAAAATGTCCATAAATTGGTATTCTCATTCTATACAATGTATCTATACATTGCATCTAATTTGCATATCAATGTGTTCTTGGGGCAAACCATAATGAAAAAAGAAGGTTATAATGGGAGTAATAACTTGGCAACATTTTCACAAGAATATCTCATATTTCATAGGAATATTGATCTATAATTTCTTTCCCTGTTGATTTATTGTGTTTCCCCAAAATGCCTGATTAACATGTTTGTCCTGCTGTCCTCTACAGAAGACATTATGAGATATTATGAGATATTATAGAAATGATGCCCCGTTTTGAAACAAAAAGTCATATTCCGATTGTTCTTAGATGCTTATTTACGACAAACAATTTGAAATCTAGCCAGATTTATTACAAAACATTATCATATTTCCCTAAGAGTGCCAAATTTGATAATTCTGTCAGACTGTCAATATCAGAGAGGGAGAGTTTATGATCAAACCTCCAAACATTTGATATTTCTAAAAAGCCCAGAATGTGCTCTGTACAGGACATCCAGACTTAAAACTGTGGCATGTACGGTCTCAGAAAAATTCTGTAAAATATAATGTCCTCTACAGAGGACAAAAGTCTATATGCCTGGGTCCCAGGAGGAAATGAAAAACAATTTCACATATTGACCGCAGCGTCGCTCCTCCAGTCCGCCAGGGTGCGCTAATGCACACGCGCGCTCTCTCTCTCTCTCACACACACACACACACACACACTCACATCAGCTGTCAAACGGCGTGAGTTTGATGCGATTCAGATATTTAGTCTTTAATTAAATAATCGAGAGAGAGAGAGGATGTGTTTATATCTCTACATCATGAGAATAAAGAGGAACACAGTGACGGCGAATTAAATCCGCCCGAGAGAAACGCAGATGTACTGATAGCGGAGGATTGAAACGATGAGCTGGCTCGGCAGGAACGCAGTGATCGGTCTCGGTGTCGGTGTGACGATAAGCACCGGCCTGATCGCATTATTGATCATTCAAGAAGCTCTCAGGAGGAGAACCCGGCGCCTGCAGCACAACACGAGCTCCGGTTTACAGAGCGAAACGGGTCTGAACACAAAAACACATCACATACATCAACAGTTTCACTTCAAATCTGATCTGATCTGACACACTAGACACGTGTGTGTGACCTGATGTGTGTGTGTGTGTGTGTGTGTGTGTGTTCTATGTGTGTGTGTGTGTGTGTGTGACCTGATGTGTGTGTGGCCTGATGTGTGTGTGTGTGCGTGTGTGTGACCTATGTGTGTGTGACCTGATGTGTGTGTGTGTATGTGTGTGTGAGACCTGATGTGTGTGTGTGTGCGTGTGTGTGACCTGATGTGTGTGTGTGTGTGTGTGTGTGTGTGTAGAGTAGACTCCGCGGCTCTTACCTCAGCGGTGAGGGATTTGTCTCCTGAGCAGCATGTGGAACTGAGGAAGACTCTGGACGAGGTGATGAAGAGCGTGTCCTGTCTGAGGAGGGAGATCGTAGAGCTGCGGGAGGGTCTGAGGGACATCAGCACCACCATCGCTGAAGATGTCAAGTGGGTGAACACTCTTTCTACTCGTATGCTCGGTTTTAGTTTTATCTGTCATATTAACCGAGGGAACATCATAATACACTAACGTTTTTGATCAGTAAGTTTTTTGTTTTTTTTTTAAGAATTTTCTTCTGCTCATCAAGGCTGCATTTATTTGATCCAAAGTGCAGCAAAAACAGTAAAATTGTGAAATATTTTTACTATTTAAAATAACTTGTTTCTATTTGAATATATTTAAAAATGTAATTTATTCCTGTGATGCAAAGCTGAATTTCCAGCATCAATTCTCCAGTCTTCAGTGTCACATGATCCTTCAGAAATCATTCTAATATGCTGATTTGCTGCTCAAGAAACATTTATTATTATTATTATGTGACACATACCACGTGATACATAAACAAACCTGCGTGTCCATAGCAACCTGGAGTTATCAGAAATTATTAATAAATTAACATTTTATTTTGAGTTAAGAATGACATAGGACAGTGTGCCATTAAGACATGACCATATTATATTACATTTATTATATTATTATGCGATGCTCAATCTATAGATAATTTTCGAATGGCGTTTGAATTATGTCATTATCAGTTTAAGAATATGTTTTGTCTGCAAGAAAACATTTTATGCATCCCATCCAGCGTTCTTTTAAACCTATGCACTTCATCTCTTACTTTTATTTAATATTTGTATATATTATTATTATACTATTATATGTTTATTTATTCTCTAGTTCTTTATTTCATGCATATCTTTACCTAAACTAAACAACAATTACATCTTTAAAATTATACTTACTAATATAGCCTATCCAAAATGAAATGAAATGTTATAGCTTAATATAAATTAAAAATTCCCTGAAAAGTCATATCATTTATTTCCACCTACTGGCATAGGCCTACAGAAATAGTCATATAGAGTTAAAGCTTTATGATAGTCGAGCATTTCCAGTATTTACAAAACTTATATGCTACTTTATTAAATACAGAACGTTAATTGGGTAAAGAGATGCATAAAATGAAGGAGAAAATAAATATCTAATATATACAAACATCTTTACGTTATATTATAATAATTAATATTATTATATAATAATTACATTTTAATAAAGTCATGTCTTAATGCCGCACTGTCTTCAATGTCATTCTAAATTTAAAATAAAATGTTAATTTATTAATAATCCCCATTTTTAAAAAGTTGCTTTGCACATGCAGGTTTATTTAAAAAAAAAAAATTATTTTGTGGTTATGAGAAAAGGATGTCGTTCCCTCAACATAAGATCTCAAGGCCATATCTTCAGATGAATATGTGACCCTGGAGCACAAAACCAGTCAAAAGGGTAAATTTTATGAAATTGAGATTTATACACCATCTCAAAACTGAATAAATAAGCTTTCCATTGATGTATGGTTTGTTATGATAGGACAATATTTGGCCGAGAGACAACTATTTGAAAATCTGGAATCTGAGGGTGCAAAAAAATCTAAATATTGAGAAAATCGCCTTTAAAGCTGTCTAAATTAAGTTCTTAGCAGTGCATATTAATAATCAAAAATTAAGTTTTGATATATTTACTGTAGGAAATTTACAAAATATCTTCATGGAACGGGATCTTTACTTAATGTCCTAATGATTTTTGGCATAAAAGAAAAATCTATAATTTTGACCTATACAATGTATTTTTGGCTATTGCTACAAATATACCCCAGCGACTTAAGACTTTTGTGCTCCAGGGTCACATATGATCACATGGTGACCACGAGAAAATAAAGTGAACTGAACATGACCTTGTATTATCTGTCTTCTCTCACCCAAACCTCTTTGTCATCTCACCCGGGCATCTCTGTCACCTCATCTAATCTGAGTCTCTCTTCTGTCTCATCTGAGTTTTCTTCATCTCTTCTGACTCTCTCTCTTTCCAGGAAGACTGTGGAGGAGAGTCAGAGATCGCGGCGACGGCGTCCGCTCATGCCGAGGGAACGCTCTGAATCCATGAGCTCCAGCTCCATTTATTTCACCGCCAGCGCCGGGGTCGCCAGTCTCTGTGACGACAGCGAGGTCGGGTATGTCAGCGTCATTGTCACCGGACGGTTGTGTATCAGGATGCCGTGTAGCTCTTGAGTTTGTGTTCGTTTCAGCAGTTGAGCTCTTCCACAGATACTCCACGGCCTATTCCAACGCCGAGTCCGACTACACGGACAGAGAGACGGATCAAGATGGTGAGGACGACGGGAGAGACTCGGATGGGGAGGAAGAGGAGAGCTGCGTCACGGTGCTCACGCTGAGACAGGACGATTCACAGGCCGAGGAAGAGGATGATGAAGATGCTGGTCTGATGGTGGAGTCTTTAAGGGACATTCGCAGTCCTGAACTCGCCCTCCTGCTCACCCAGTGTGATCTGCTGCATGCAGGGGACTCTGGGAAAAAAGCAGAGGGCTTCCAGCTGCTGATGGAGAACAGACCGCTGGTGAGATATTTAATGATAACTGAAGAGATGTATGAAAAATGTTTCAAATTGCAAATTTTTTGACACAATATTCAAAGGAAATGCATTACTGTAACATGATTTTTTTGTGTGTGCATTTTTACAAACCTTTCATGGGAAATATATATATATTTATATTTTAAAATTACTGTTCAACAGTTTGGGGTCAGTAAAAGTTGTTTGACAGAATATTCATCAAGGATGCATTAAACTGATCAAAAGTGACAGTAAAGTAAAATTCAGTAAAAAAAAGTAAAAAGTAAAAAATTTTTTTTTTACAAATATTTCTATTTCAAATAAATACTTTTCTATTCATCAAAGAACCATGAAAAATGTATCAGTTTCCACAAAAATATGAAGCAGCACAACTGTGTTCAAGATTGATAATAATCAGAAATGTTTCTTGAGCAGCAAATCAGCATATCAGAATGATTTCTGAAGATCATGTGACACTGAAGACTGGAGTAATGATGCTGAAAATTCTGCTTTGCATCACAGGAATAAATTACATTTTAAATTATATTCAAATAGAAAACAGTTATTTTAAATTGCAATAATATTTTACAATATTACTGTATTTTTCCTCAAATAAATGCAGCCTTGGTGAGCAGAAGACATGTTCAAAAACAAAAAATCTTATCAACCCCAAACTTTTGAATCATTGTGTATATTTTATAGTACTTAAGTATGAAGTATTTATTATTTAATAATTTTATTTAGTATTCAATTTATACCTGTAAAGTTAAAAACATTACAATTCTAAACATTTAAAAATGTATATAAAAGAACGAAATTTTCAAAGCAAGTTACATGTATTTTAAAAGAGCACAATTACACTTTTCAAACAAAATAAGATATGAAAATGATAAAACAATATTTCTAGCATTCAAAATAAAACAAAACCACATCAACTGTAATAAAAATTGCATCTCTGTGTATGTGTGATCAGTATGCTGATAACATGGAGTTTATGTGGCGACTGGCTCGTGCCTACAGCGACATGTGTGAGACGGCAGACAACAGAGAAGAGAAGAGAAACTACGCAGAGCAAGGTGAGCAAATATTACACGAGTGCCCTACGATTTGGACTACACTTCCTGACGTCATGCTCTGTGAGAAAAACACTGCAAATGCATAGGAAGCATTTCACACTCCGTTGGGACTTGAAACGCAGCTTATAATGTACTGCACCTGCACTGACCTTTGACCTTTTGACACTGAAGGTCATTATGAGGCAGAGGTAGCGCTGACGAGGAATGGACTGAGCGCTGATTGTCACAAGTGGTATGAAAACAGCACAAACACACCTTTACTCTGAGATGAGTTTTGTTGTCTGTAGTTCATAATATGTCTGCTCTCTCAGGTTTGCCATCCTCGCCCACTTGTCTTCACAGTACGAGAGCATTCACGGAAAACTGAAAAGCGGTCGCGTACTGAAGGTGAGGCTGTATGTCAGTGTTGCAGATGAACACGAGTGTCTTCTTTCTTGAGTCATGTGTTCAATGACTTTGTTTGTTCTGACAGGAGCATTTGGATCGAGCTTTGGCTCTACGTGACGATGATCCCATCTGTTTCTATCTGCTCGGCCGCTGGTGTTTAGAGGTCAGATCTGACTGCTAAAACCAAGCCAGCCAACAGTCTCTGGAATAATTCATAGTGCTTGCTAATCCTCCTTTGACAGAAAGTCAATAGGATTTTGGATTATTGCAGAAAATAAGCTCTGTGACTAACAAAAGTGTTTTGTTCATCAAGATAATCTTCACAACTGAACATAACTTTTATGAATTTTGAAGCACAAATAAAGTCAGCTGAATGTACTTGTAAAGCTCTTATCACAATTTAGGGTTAGTTCACCCAAAAATGAAAATTCTGTCATTAATTACTCACCCTCGTGTTGTTCCAAACCTGTAAGACCTTCGTTCATCTTCGGAACACAATTTAAGATATTTTTGATGAAATCTGAGGGCTCTCTGACCCTCCCATAGACAGCAAGGTAACTACCACGTTCAAGGTCCAGAAAAGTACCAAGATGATCGACAAAGTAGTCCGTGTGACATCAGTGGTTCAACTGTAAAGTTACGAAGCTACGAGAATACTTTTTTGTGCAAAGAAAACAAAAATAACGACTTTATTCCACATTTTCATCCCTACTGCGTCACTTGTGGACGCGCGTTCACAACAGTACCATGACACGAGCGTGTGGCGGCGTAGCTTCGTAACTTTACAGTTGAACCACTGATGTCACACAGACTTCTTTGTTGATCATCTTGGTACTTTTCTGGTCCTTGAACGTGGTAGTTACCTTGCTGTCTATGGGAGGGTCAGAGAGCCCTCAGATTTCATCAAAAATATTTTAAATTGTGTTCCGAAGATGAACGAAGGTCTTACAGGTTTGGAACAACATGAGGGTGAGTAATTAATGACAGAATTTTAATTTTTTTTGGTGAACTAACCCTTTAACCCTCTGGTGCTCAATTTTATTTTGGCACTTGCTACATGGACAAAGACAAAAAAAATCATGAACATGATTAAAAAAGGTTAAATATCCCTGAAAAAACAGTCCTGCATTGGAAATGAATGGGAAACGAATTTCATCTAGTGGAAAGCTAATTTTTTGAGATATCAACCTCAAATTTGGAACACAACTTGTTTCGAGTTATGGCTTTGTTTTTGTCGCAGTTTTACATTAAAACATAAATATGTAAATGATGCATTATCTAATTAAATTTGCGTACATTTCTAAAACAGAAATTGGATAAAGTCAGGTTCAAAATGATTGTTTCATTGTGTTGACATGTTAAAGTTTTTTACAGAGGGATTTTAGATGTTTTTTTAATCACTCCATAAATCAGAAAATACTGTCAACAGAGGGCAAAAAAAACAGTTTTTAGGAATTAAATGTTATTAAAATGAGGCAAATGATATATAAACAAACATAGATGGGAATAAAACAAAAGTTAAATGTATGTAAGTACTACTGGAGATTTCGGACTCATTTTGAAGCAACTGTATGCACGGTTGTACGCCACGTTATCCAGCACGTCGCTGCCCACCAACCCGTACCTGACACAGCAAACACAACCACACAGTATGAAACCATCCGTTCATTTCTGGTGTTAAGCACAGAACGGATAACAAGTGTTTCTAAAGCGATTCTTACTTCTCAGCTACAGCCAGCAGCCTCTCTGGACGGAAGGTTCCCTCTGTGTCGATGTACATGGCTTTTCCTTCTCCACCGCCCTGATCTATGGGCAGCTGAAATGCAAAGTTCTTATTTTAACCCTGTAAAGCCTGACATGAAATAATAGTCAGATGTACATATTGTACATACATAGTGTTTACTATATACACACTATAGCATTTACTGTACCCTTAGACAGAATCTTAAAAAAAAATTGCATATGTGATTTTTGTTGAGTATCATATTTGATACACCAGACTTGTATGGCTCCTATAGTATGATGTACAGAATATGAAACATGATGAACACCAAAATGAAAAATTCTGATGCTTGTAAATCAATGAGATCTTTATAACAGTATAGCAGACGATTTACATAAACGCATATAAATATCAGTTGTCACTATATATGATAACATTGTGGAGTCTCTTCTTACCTCAAGCAGGTCTCTGCGTAAGACTAAGATGTATAACTCTAAGCCAGGTTGGAATTAATATGTAAAAGAGTTTCATGCCGAGGCTAGAAAGGCTTGGGTTGAGTCAGGTAGACATAAATATGGTCCTTTATTTGAATATAAGAAACGGGCAAATGCTAATTTTAAGTGTGCATTACGTTTCATCAAGAGGAATGAAAATATAATGAGATCTGACTCTCTTGTGAAGAAACTGCTAAATAATAATCTAAATGATTTTTGGAAAGAAATAAAACGAATGAACAATTGTAAAACATCTTTACCAACAAATATAAGTGGGGTAAGCGGGTCAGAGGAGATTACTCAAATGTGGCAAAAGCATTATTATGAGCTGTTTAACTGTGTTAAGAGTAACTCTTTCGCAGTGGGCAACATTGATAATGATGAAGTTGTGAATGTCTCTCCACAAGAAGTTTATGATGCAGTTATGATGCTAAAAAGTAATAAGGCATGTGGTATGGATAAGATATCTGCTGAACATTTAAAATTTGTAAGTAGAAAATTATATCCTTTGCTGGCTATTTGTTTTACTGGGTTTTTGGTTCATGGTATTTTACCAGATTCTATCTTATTCGTTATGTTAGTGCCTATTATTAAAGACAGAGCTGGTAAAAATAAATAGCATGGATAATTACCGGCCTATAGCCTTGGCTAGTACTTTATCCAAGGTTATTGAAAGGATTTTATTGAATAAGATGGAACATTTTGTCCTGACTTCTGATAACAGTTTGGTTTTAAACCGAAACATGGCACTGATATGTGTATTTTTGCCCTAAAGGAGATTTTAGATTTTTATAACAGCGATAATTCCACAATTTGTATGTTTTATTGATGCTTCTAAAGCCTTTGATCGTGTAAATCATGAAAAATTATTTTTTAAGTTATACAATAGAGGAGTTCCCAAATTATTTTTGTGAAAAATTTTTTTTTTTGGTATACTCATCAATTAATGTAAAATGGGGTAATTGTATGGCTGCTCCATTCAGTGTATGTAATTGAGTCAGACAGGGAAGCATTTTGTCTCCCTTTTTATTTAATATTTATATGAATGATTTATCAAAGCTGTTAAACGGTTGTAGAACAGGTTGTATGGTTGGTCATACTATTATAAACCATTTGATATATGCAGATGATTTGGTGATTTTTTTGTCCATATAGTGCTGGTCTTCAACAGTTACTGAGGATTTGTTCTCGATATGGTTAAGATTTTGATATTAAATATAATGCCAAAAAGAGTAATATTATGATTGTTAGGAGGAGGGGGGACAGGAAACTGACATTTCCTGACTTCTCTCTGTCTGGGAGTGTCCTTAAGGTATGTAATGAGGTTAAATACTTAGGGTATTATATAACTGATGACCTGTCTGATGATAGGGATATTTACAGACATTGTTGTACGCTGTATGCCCAGGCCAATATGTTGATTCGCAAATTTGGCATGTGCTCAGGATCTGTGAAGACTACACTTTTTAAAGCATACTGTACCCCTATGTATACTGGCCATTTGTGGCGGCATTACAGAAAGAGAAGCATGCAGAGACTTAATGTAGCTTATAACGATGGTATGCGATTGCTGCTTAAGGAGCCAAGACAGAGAAGCGCAAGCCAAATGTTTGTCAGTGCTGGTGTGCCAACCTGCGCCTGCTGTGTTGCGTAATCTCATGTACAGATGTATGTGTAGGTTATCAGAATCAGTAAACAGTATAATTTTAACACTGACGAACTTAGCACTAAGTTCAGTCAGGCTTTTTTCAAATATGTGGAATCATTGGCGTTTTAGTACACATGTAAATATGTGATATTGTGGTTTTTGTCCTTGTGTGTGTTTTTGTATGTCGTTATTGTTGTGTCTTTGTCTGGACCGAGTGTGTCCTTAATAAAGTTTGATATATATCTCCCGACAATATGTCTTAGTAAGATGATATTTAAATGTTTACTTTTATGATCAAAGCTTTGTAGTTTCAAAAAATATAATGCAGTGCAACACAACAATGATTGAGAAATGAACAAATAAACGTTCCTCAAAAGCCTGATGATCATATTTGAACATGATTTTTCTAAAATATGATTTATGGATAATCAAGTAAATCTAAGTTGCTTCAGTCCAGTAAAAATTCATCTTGAAATACAACTAACAATATAAAAGTTAATCTTATGTTTACTTCAAAATCAATAAAATGTAAAAGAAAAAATATGATTACAATTTAAAATAACTGTTTTCTATTTGAATATTTTTTTAAATATAATTTATTCCTGTGATCAAAGCTCAATTTTCAGCATCATTACTCCAGTCTTCAGTGTATATATATCTCCCGACAATATGTCTTAGTAAGATGATATTTAAATGTTTACTTTTATGATCAAAGCTTTGTAGTTTCAAAACATATAATGCAGTGCAACACAACAATGATTGAGAAATGAACAAATAAACGTTCCTCAAAAGCCTGATGATCATATTTGAACATGATTTTTCTAAAATATGATTTATGGATAATCAAGTAAATCTAAGTTGCTTCAGTCCAGTAAAAATTCATCTTGAAATACAACTAACAATATAAAAGTTAATCTTATGTTTACTTCAAAATCAATAAAATGTAAAAGAAAAAATATGATTACAATTTAAAATAACTGTTTTCTATTTGAATATTTTTTTAAATATAATTTATTCCTGTGATCAAAGCTCAATTTTCAGCATCATTACTCCAGTCTTCAGTGTCACATGATGCTTCGGAAATCATTTTAATATGCTGATTTGCTGCTCAAGAAACATTTCTGATTATTATTATTATTATCAATGTTGAAAACAGTTGTGCTGTGTAATACATTTGTGGAAACCGTGCTATATTTGAAATATAAATCTTTCGTAACATTATAAATATCTTTACTGTCAATTTTGAGCAGTTTAATGTGTCCTTGCTGAATAAAAGTAGTCTTTCCAAGTATGTTTTACCTGGCATGTGACGGCCAGTGTGTGACACAGCTGTGTCTTTCCTGTGCGAAACTCGCCGAACATCTCAGTGATGGATCCCGTCTCGATTCCTCCTGCACACAACAGACACACAAAGATTCAATCAGGTGATTACAGCATATAGTACATTATTATCAGACAGTTCAGTTCAGCGTCGCACCCTGCAGGAGTTTGTCAAGCTCTTTGGACCCTGTGGAGATCTGGATGATTTCAGCTCTGCGCTGGTGGAACTCAGTCGCTGTGGTGAAGCCCATGGGAACCATCTTAGCAGCCTCTGTCTGTTTGGTAAAAACGAAGATTTAGAAGTTTGTTCATATCGCTAAAAACAGAATTGGAGATGGCAGTTCTGAAGGTCTCACCAGGATCTTGTCGGCTTTGGCTTCACTGACTCCTTTGATGTGCAGCAGCTCTTTCTTGGGCGCGTACGCTACGGCCTCCACGGTGTGAAAACCACCATCTTCCAGCTTCTTAATGTCGCTGCTGCTGATGCCACATTGCTGCAGAGAGATTTAAACATCAGCACCATGAAAAGAGCGTTTGTGTTTATACCCGCAGTGGCAGCCATACCTCCAGACGTGAAATCGGTTGCGGCCCAAAATGTTCTTCCTCCTCTGCATCTGCCTCCGCCTCCACCCGGGACACATTCCTCATAGCCATATTTACTGTTTCATAACACAAACACATGACACGATATCAGCTTAACAATTTGAGTGAAGTTGATGGAAACCTTTGGGATGCACTCTTTGTTTACATAAACCAAACACTTCCATAGTTCTAAATGAATACATTTAGTAAACACACAAAATTAGGGTTCACAACACTAATCTATATAAATAATTATAGTTCAGTGTCAATCACATTCAGTTTGACTAATAATATTCTAATGACTTTTCTAGAGGTCTGGAACCATCAGATTAGCATTTACAAAAAAAAAAAAACTAAAGAAAACACGATTATACATGTCTGGGCATGTTATCAAGTTATCATTTGAAACACCAAGGTGTAATAATACGGTAAAAAAGCCTTACAGTGATGGTAACACCACAGTATTGTGAAATACAGCATAGTTTTACACAGTATTCCAAAGAATACCGTGGTACTATTAAAAAGTACCATAGTATTACAATCGCACAGTGTTTTCTAAAAATCAAAAGGACAATTCGCAAATTAACTAAACAAAAACACCAATTATTGATCAGTTCATTGCTAATAAAATGTATTAATCAGTCTGATAATGGCTTCGAAAACCCGCAGAACAAACACAAACACAAACACACATGCAATCGCGCTCTAATCACACTCAGTGTAGTGTCCAGACGTGTTCACACACTAAAACTCATATAAATGTGTCCAAATATTCACGTAGAAGTGCAATTATCTCATGAATTAAATCTTTAATATCGTGGTCGTTGTTTTGTCACTCACGCGCTAAGCTCCAGCTACTCGATCTGAACTTTCCCGCGTGCCGCCGTCAGGCCGCGTCACCGACGTCATGACGACATCACGCCATCGCCACGCTTTCATAACCTCGTAATCCGAATAGGTTTTATTTTTGGATTTTACTTGTAAAAATATGTCTGAAAGTCGATTTGTGAGGACATTTAAAATAGTAAAAATATGTCTGAAAGTCGATTTGTGAGGACATTTAAAATAGTACCCGCTATTCGAAATGTTTATCTTTTGCATAACATGGTTTTCATACATTACCTTTGAAAGAAATCGTATATTAGGGTACATAGTTTATACTCTGTGTAGGTGTAGCAAAGTGAACTCAGAGTTCATAGTGTTAGTTTCAGTGTTGGGGGTAATATATTACAAGTAACGTGAGTTACGTAATCAGATTACTTTTTAAAAGTAACTAGTAAAGTAACGCATTACTTTTTTCATTTACAAGAGAATATCTGCGTTACTTTTTCAGATAAGTAACGCAAGTTACTTTTTTTTTTCCAATTTATTGATTGGCAGCTCTCCTGTCCACATGTTGAGAGAAATCAGATGTTACTGTAGCTCTAAAATAAATATGAATATGCATTAATTCATCTCACTAACAAAAAAAAACACAGATTCAGTATTCCTCAAAATGAATAAAAATAATGCAACTCAGAATATGACACAAACCTGCAATAATTAAATGTTAAACAACACAAATATGCTTTATGTATTTAATCCCATTCTATTAACCAAAGTCTTTTTCGTTGTTGTTGTTGCTTAATATTTTTGTGAAAAGAAATAAATCCGTGCATATTAGAATGCATATTAGAACGATATGCTCGTCGCAGGAATAAATTACATATTAAAACATTTTCAAAAAGAAAACATATAGGCTATTTAAAAAAAATGGTAACAATATTTTACAATAGCACTGTTTTTATTGTATTTTTGATCAAATGAATGCAGTCTTTGTGAATAGAAGAGACTTCTTTTAAAAAACATTTAAAAAATCATATTTTTTCCAAACTTTTGACCAGTAATTCCAATAGACATTTTACCACAAACACACTGTAAACAGGAATTTTGTCTCATGTTTTAAGTTTATTATAATATAATATTATACAATATAAAGCTCTAGCTTGAATAACATATCACCATTATATAAAATCTTCATGATTTAAGGCTTTAGTCCATGTCTGTCAGCTTTGAGGTCATATTTGCTAGCATATCCCTAAAAGTTGATAAAAATGATCATTTTAAATGTATGTATTTAAAATCAGCACTCACCTTGGAAGGAGTTCAGGACGGTGAATATGTAATACGAGGGCAGACGCATAGCTCCGTAGCTGAAGAAGGCGAAACTCCAGGTGAGTCCCAGCATACAGCAGAGGCCCAGGATGGTGGTGATGTCAAAGGTGGCGGTTCCTGAGTGCTTCACCTTTCCAGCCTTGTTCAGCCTGCTCAGCTTCAGCATGGAGAGCCATCGCAGCACCACAATGAAGGTGCTGAAGGTGAAGATGAAGATCAAGCAGTAATAACCGATGTTCACGTAGTAGTGGACATTAGAGTCTAAAATCCAGCACCTGCAGGGGAAAAAAAGTGCAGACGGTTAAAGTTGACAAAATTACAAATTTATATTCACCCTCACACCCATTTACTAATTTTTTCTTCATAGGAACAGATTTGAAGAAATTTAGCATTCCATCATTTGCTCAGCAATGGATGCTCTGCAGTGAATGTGTGCCGTCAGAATGAGAGTCTAAACAGCTGATAAAAACATCACAATAATCCACACCACTCCAGTGCATGAATTAATATACTGCGAAGTGAGAAGCTGCATGTTTGTAAGATCCATTATTACAAATCCATCAAGACATTTTTAACTTTAAACCATTGCTTCTTGCTAAAATACTGTACGAGTCCTCTATCCATAATATTGCTTTCTCCAGTGAAAAAGTAATCTAGTCTGAATTTACTAGTATAAATAGTCAGAAACAATTCTAAACAAATATGTTGGTGGATTTTGATGTGAGAGGACAACAGTCTTTTCACTGGAGAAAGCAATATTATGGATAGAGAACTTATATTTTGGCCAGAAGTGATGGTTTAAAGTTAAAACACCTTAATGATGGATTTGTTTCTTACAAACACGCATCTTTTCACGACACAAGACATTAACTGATGGACTGGAGTGGTGTGGATTACTTGTAGATTATTGTGATGTTTTTATCAGCTGTTTGGACTCTCATTCTGACGGCACCCATTCACTGCAGAGGATCCATTGGTGAGCAAGTGATGCCATGCTACATTTCTCCAAATCTGTTCCAATGAAGAAACAAACTCATCTACATCTTGGATGGCCTAAGGGTGAGTAAATTTCCAGCAAAATATTCCTGTTAAGTGAACGATTCCTTTAAAAACAATGTTTCGGATGTCTGATAAATGCCTTGAAGTCAGCAAAACGTCATTGTAAAAAAATTAAATTAAATTAAATTTATGTTTGTAGGAGTGTTGCACTTTTAAATTTGACTATAGACCACTATTTTCCCCACTCACACTGTTTATTTATTTTAATGCTTTTACTACTTTTAAACAGTTATAATAGTAAATATTTTCCAAAATAATATTTTAATAATTTGTTTTGGCTTTAGTAATTTGTAAATATAACATGCAAGTATTTCATTTTGAATTGCATTAAAAAACTGAAATAATATGACTCAGTATTTTTCTTACGCCTTACAAAAATGAAGGACCCAAAAGGGTTTTTTTGCAGTGATGCCACAGAAGAACCATTTCTGGTTCACAAAAGAACCACCAGTTTTTAAAAGAATGTTTTTGTTGTTGTTGTTTGTTTGTTTTTTAGTGTGAAGAACATTTTATTATCTAAAGAAACCTTTTCCATTATAATAGGTTTTCATGCATAATATTATATGGCTGCTATTATATTTTAGGAAGTTAATCTCATCATATTTTGGAGTCCACTTACATAGTTACGTTGCTTTTGTCCGTTGTTATGGACTGCTCACCATATTTGCCCAAGACGTAAATGATACTAACAACAAGAGCAGGAGGAGCTGAAACAAATGGTTGACAATGCAATTATAGTATAAGAAAGAGCCTTCAAACTTCTTGGGATTTTTGCCCATTTGATCTTCATTGATCATCTGAGCACTTACTAAAGTACTTCAACAGGCACATTAAAGGTTTTTGAACTCACCCCACCCAACCACAGAGATCTTGATCATGTAATGTTTGATGGTGACTGAGTGTTTGGTCATCTGCAGGCAGAGGTGAAAAGCCTCCACCGCAAACCAGTTGAAACTGGCCAGCAAGCAGTAGTGCATGAATCCAGCCATGACCTTGCAGGCGGTGACGTCCTTCGCACGCGCTACGTACTCATTCGACAGGAAGGCCACGTTGAGCAGGAACAGCGCCACGAAGAGATTAACCAGCACGCGGAGAGAATCAGTGGCCTTCACTCTCCTAAAATTTAAAATGCAATTAAAATGTTCAATTTTGAAATCAAAGAGCCAGCCATTGTGAATTAAAAAAATTAAGGATTAGCCTTGATAATAAAGTTACTTTAAACTTGAAATTTTGTTTGAAAATAATTAGGATTACAACCATCATTTTAAGCCAGGTTTTAATTTTACAGTCATGTTGCATCCAAATTAGACCAAAGTCCCTTGAAGACAAGTCATGTAACTCAGTGGCCATCTTTGAAACGCCTCTCGGGCATGCAAGTGCATCTCTTTGAATGGGGAAATATCAAATTCTCCAAAACTGTTCACTAAGCTTACGATTAAATTTCATATTTGAAATCACCAAAGAAATCTGACAACAACTGTGTCATAAATGTTGTTACTTTTGCACTTGATTTTTCCACATGATTTTATTGTAAGAAAACAAATATTTTTAATAATTCTTAATGTCTCTTTTACGGACCAAGGATGAATTTATGTAAAAGAAATAAAATAAATAATATTGTGAAATATTACAATTTAAAACAGCGGTTTTCTATTTGAATATATTGTAAAATGTAATTTATTTCTGTGATGCAAAGCTAAATGTTCAGCATAATTTCTCCAGTCTTCAGCATCTTCAGAGATCGTTCTAATATGCTAATTTGCTGCTCAAGAAACATTTCTTCTTATTATAAGTGTTAAACAGTTGTGCTGCTTGATATTTTGTGTTAACCGTGTTTTTTTTAAATTTTTTAAATCAAATAAATTCAGCCTTAGTGAGACTTCTTTCAAAAACATTGAAAAATCTTAATTAGTGTGTCTCACCTCATGAGGAAGTGCATGAAGAGCCCGATGGACAGGAAAAACAAGGAGAGGCCGCAGCCGATGTAGGTGATGTAGGTGAGAGCAGTGAGGTCGCTTTGGGGAATGTGTATGTTTGGAGGGGTCTGTATTAAAACCGTGTTTAGTTACACAGGACATTGGCAACATTAAGGATTCAATAACCACAAAATGTCTGTTGTGAAATTATTTTATCAGCTACAGATTAATAAACATAAATCTGAAGGTGCACGTAGAGAACTTATACTCGCACTCCAGCTCAATTTCACAGATTCCAGAAGGAAACAGGAGAACCTACCATAAGCACAGCGAAGAAAGTCAAATGTTTGCATTTACATGTTATCTTGTTTTCTGCATTAAACGTGCTACACCCTTCGGATGTCCAGTTTGGCTTATTTCCTGAAAAAAGGAGGGACTGGTTAGTTTTGAGTAGATTTAGAGTGAATTAATGAAATTGACATTATGCTTTGGTCAGCAGCATGGGCCGAAAGATTAAAACTCTTAACCAATTCTCTTAAATTTGCTTAAGTACGAATACCAACATTGAAATTCAGCTCTCTGTGATATGGAAACTGAAAGTGTATTATTTTAATGTGACATTTTTAAAAGAATATTTCAATGTCTGTACTGTAAAAAACATGCACAAATAAAAAACAAAAACACAAGAGCATCACAGACCTTTTCCATCCCATGATTTACAAACAGGACTTCCCTCCGTCTTCTGCAGATAAATACATTAGAATTTCACAAAATAAGATTCGGATGCATTTTACACTACTAGAAACTTTTTTCCCAAACATTTGAATACCTGACGATTTTTGAAGGTCAAGATGATGGCATCACTCAGATTAGAAATTTTTGTCCCCATTTCGATTGCATAAACCTCATCATTCAAAACCGTACTATTCTCTGCATCCTTAAAATAAAAATGAAAGAGGATTGTTTAGGATTGTTTTGTTTTATTGCTTAGGAACAGAATCAGACTTCTATATATAACCATGATGTGATTTACATCACAAATAAAATAAAATAAGATGCAAATAAGACCAATGTCAGTAGGTAAAATGACAGGTTAAGAAAAAGGCAAAATATAAAAGAATATCTAAATGTTGAAGATATTCACGATTATTATCCTATTTTATTATTATTTTAAAGGGGTCATATGATGCGATTTAAATTTTTCCTTTTTCTCTGGAGTGTTACAAGCTCTTGGTGCATAAAGAAGATCTGTAGTCATTCTAACACACCCCCACATGTCTACGTCACTTTGTGGGAAGATTTGTATAATGCCGTCCAAATGTTCATATATTTATGTCACAACCACAACTTTGCCTGGCATTTATTTGTGAATCGCGTCCTGTGCATTTGACCGTACTATTCTCTGCATCCTTAAAATAAAAATGAAAGAGGATTGTTTAGGATTGTTTTGTTTTATTGCTTAGGAACAGAATCAGACTTCTATATATAACCATGATGTGATTTACATCACAAATAAAATAAAATAAGATGCAAATAAGACCAATGTCAGTAGGTAAAATGACAGGTTAAGAAAAAGGCAAAATATAAAAGAATATCTAAATGTTGAAGATATTCACGATTATTATCCTATTTTATTATTATTTTAAAGGGGTCATATGATGCGATTTAAATTTTTCCTTTTTCTCTGGAGTGTTACAAGCTCTTGGTGCATAAAGAAGATCTGTAGTCATTCTAACACACCCCCACATGTCTACGTCACTTTGTGGGAAGATTTGTATAATGCCGTCCAAATGTTCATATATTTATGTCACAACCACAACTTTGCCTGGCATTTATTTGTGAATCGCGTCCTGTGCATTTGTAGATAGCTGCACACATTTGTGAATCGCGTCCTGTGCATTTGCGAATTGTGAAACATTTCTTGCGTCAAGA